ATCCCAAAGGCCATCCTGACCGATTACCGGGTATACAATTAAGGTAGGGGATCGCTGTGGAATACGCACTGTACACACATTTCACATCATATCTATTGTGTAACTCATTTCTTTACGGCCCCCCAAAGCGACACAATTTTAACTTCATTTTGTGGTTGGGCAAAAACAACTGCCGCACTCTGCGCTCTTCAGTGCTTCATTTTGGGTCGCTGTTGCCGCATCTCCGGTATAAATTTACGGTATAATTTTAATACAAACATTTGCCCGCACCTCGTGCCCAACCGACTCCTGCTCGTGCTCCTGCTCCTGAAATATGATAATTCATTACACGAGCGTGCACACAAGCAACTCACTCAATTGTATCTTATGCAAATTGCCTGTGATTTTTCCTTTTTCCTGTTTCCTGTATGCTGCTCTGCTTAGACGCTCAATTCTCGAGCAGTTGTCCTTTGTGCGGCGCCAGGACCTCAAATTTTCCTTGTCACAGGACACAGAAAAAGAAAAAAAAAAGAAGTACAGCAAAGAGCAAAAACATACGATGTGTCTTTTGTTTTGCCTTATGCAGAATTGTTAGCCTTTGTCGTCTTGACAATATACACGTACTCGTATATATGTTTTTCTTTTTGTCAATTTAATGTTGATTTTGCCTTTTAAGAATGTAAGAACAACATGTGAGGGAAAAATAAAGAAAAGGGAAAGCCGATGCCGAAACTGAAGCCGAAGCCGAGTTGTAGGTAGCGACAGTTTTAATTGAAAAGTTTTGTGCGGGCCCAAGATAAATATGTTTTTAATTTATTGCACTCGCTCAAAATATGTCCTCGAACATATTTTTATTTCCTTATTTTGCGACTGTCTTTTTCCAAAAGCAGTGAGTGTTGAATTGGAAGCTTACGCCCCATTTGCTGGACAGCAGCTAGCCAGCAATTGACAGCACGCCCTATTGAGCATATGAAAAATGAAGTTGTCGTCTATAAGTGGCCAAGCGACAAAAAAAAAAAAAAAATCAAAATAAATAGAAGAAAACAAGAAGCAAGAAAGGAAAAACAGAAATAAACAGCGTCAGAGCACAAATGACGACAAGTGCGCTGTAAATTATTCGGGCAAACAAATTGCAAAAATTGCAAATTACTTTCTCAAGTGGCTGAATGGCAACATGGAAGAGCGTGACAAAGCAATGGGAGCGGGGGCAGATGGGAGGTGTGGGGCAGCATCAATCAATGGCTGTAGTCATAGCCATGGATGTGAGTGAATCTCTAAATACAATGCGAATGCTAAGCAACACTTTATTGGTCACAAATTCAATGCTACATTTTAATTAGCAACAGAACTTTTCATACCAACATTCTGGCTCTCTCTCTCTACTCTTGAATTGATGCCACGTGTCAGCGGCTTCTTGGCTTTTCTTCTTTACAGTTGGCACTTGAAGTTGCGCTAATGAGAAAATCGTCGACTGGGGCGGCACTTCAGCTGCCAACACCTCAACCCATACTTCACTCCACTCCACGCTATCAAACCACCAGTCCACTTTAGAGTCCGCCCTCGCACTCAATGCAACTGTCAACAAATGTTAACTCACTTGGCTTCTTCTGGTTCACCTCCTACACTCAACAAATTAACTGAGAGTTTTTGGAGCTGAAATTGAATATCTCTCTTAATTATTAATTTTAAGGTTTCGTTTGAATTTAATTTAAGACGTTTGACAAGCTTTAAATAACTTCTAAATTTTTAACATTTCTTATAATGAAATTTTTCAAATCTGTTCAAAGAGTTTCCTTCAAAATTGTATTGCAAAGTTTATTCTTTCTGATTTAAATTGATAGCTTTTTCCGTTTTCCCAAATTAAAAACAAATAAGCCGTCAAGTGAAAATGTTTTTCCTAGTGTAGTTTTCTTCTGCTTTACTTGGCCATCTAACGAGTTTTTCTGTCTGGACTTGGGTTTTTTTTATCGTGCGACTCTCTAGCTGCTACACTTGAGCGCAAACAAAAGTTTTTTAGTTGCGACCAGTACGACTATAACTTGTACACTCTATACTATTCTGCTTCTTCTTGCATCTCTGGATAATGCTGTTGGTTTTTTTTTTCAGTCTTTTTCCAGTTTTTTTTTTTTTTGTGTTTGGGGACCAAAGATGGCTCTGTGGTTTATTTGTTTGGCCAACGCCAGGGCAAAGTTTTGCCTTTTACTGCAACCGCCTTACCACTGTCTATCTACATATACTTTCTACGTGCTTGCAAGTATATACGTGTGTTTATGTGTGTGTGTGTGTGTTTGCCTTGAAGTGGTCAAGTTGACTGCAATCGATGAAGCGTAAATGTTCAAATGCGCAGATATTTCTTAGCAGCCGTCGCCGCACAACGTTTTCAAGTGGCCGAAGTGTAAAAAACAACAGCAACCAGCGTCCAGCAGCAGCAACGACAACAACGACTGACAAACGTGCGCTCTGGTCATTACTTTTTAGCCCCAATGCGGGCGCTTGGCAAACAACAGCAGCAGTTGTACGTTAGATACTTCTGTATCTTGCAGATTGCCTTTGGGTGTTTTCACAGTGTGCTCACTGCTGTGTATTTGTCTTTTGTTTCATTTTTTTTTGTTTTTTTGGCTTTTGGGCAATGCGGTATTGCACTTTATGGGCAAGCACTGGGATTTGCGCCACATTGTGATAAAGTGGCCATCGGTTGACCAAGAGGCAAGAGCAATTTATGAGAGCACACACCGAAGTCGTTTAGTTAATTTTCCAAAGTGCAGCAGCTGCACTCGCTTCTCACTTAATGCCGTTTTAATAAACTGGCGGAGAATTTGCACCGCCGTACTGGGAAAGTTACCGTTACCGAAAATTGTAAATGGGAAATATGATAAGTGCGCGCGCCCTTGCAACACTTTGCTTGAACTTTGCCCAAAAGATGTGCAAAAAATGAAATTGAATTTTCCGGGTTGATAAAGTGATACACTTTGGCACCGCCAAACATGTGTGTCCTGTGTGCGTGGGTGTGTGTGTGTGTGTGTGCTCCTTCGGCGCTAGTCGCTGCCGGTTTTTTTTTTATAGTGCCAAAAAGTCAACAGCGGAAAGTTTTTGCTTTCGAGCAAAAGTTTTTTAGCCCGAAAGTAGCGCGCACTTGGCCCGATTTTGATTTGCCGCTACCCTTTGGGAGATGCTGCCTGCCCTTCTGCTCTTTACTCTACTCTTCTCTGCTCTGTATGCACAAGCAAGTTACCAAGTCATTCATTCCACCACCACCCGTCCCACCCACCATCGCATTGCCCCGGCAGCCAAAAATAGAGCGCTAGAGTGTAGAGTGCAAAGGCATTTTCACTTGCGGCCGCGGTTTGTTTGACTCATTGAGTGCAACAGCAAAGAAATTGCGAAAGTTTGTGCTAATTTATTAATATTTTGGCAGCAACTTTGCGCATACGGCTCGTATGGCAGCAACAAGTGTTTGCTAGCGCCAAGGTTTTGACCAAATTTTATTATAAAGGCAACCACCCCAGTGACTCGGAGAGAGAAAATTGTATGGAAACAATGAAAATATTGAGAATTCTGTGTACCAAAAGAATATGGTATGTAATAACTAAATGGAATTATAATAAAGCTGGCATTTTGAAGTAAGCTGGTAGGGTTGAACTATTGTTTTCTTCCTTTTTTTTTAAGACGTAAGAAGGTTTTCTATTTCAATATGAAAAATTATTACTAATCAGTTTTAGTTTTCCATAAAGGTCCTTTCAATCGCTAATAAAACGTAAGTTTTATCTATTGTTAGTTCCTTATTCGCTTCTACACCAACCATTTACGAACACATTTTGGTGACTAGCTCTCAAGCTTTGATAAATTCAGCCCACAAATGAGGAAAAAGTGTGGTCTATACTATCCTCGAGAGCGCAAGCAATCTCTCCAATTCGATTAATGTTTTATGTGCATTATTTGAGCTGGAAATACAACTAAATTTGTTTAATTTATTGTTTGAGATATTAAAATGAATTCAAAGTGACATTTAAAAGGATTTTTTCTCAGAGTGCAGGGACCCACATTCGTTGGACTACTATCACTCTTTCACTGGTTTTGGATAAATGTTGTTGTTGGTGTTGAACTTTTGCCGCTGTAAACAGTTGCACAGTCGTCGGCGTCATCGTCAGCGTCAGCGTCGCTACAGAAAAAACATGTCAGCCTGCAGGCCGTCCCAGTGTAACTTTCGAAAGTTGCAACTTATCTGTTGTTGCAGATGATTGTTGTTGTTGTAGTTGTTGGTGCTGTTGTCGTTGCTAGTTGCAACTTTTTCGGGTGCACAAAAGTTTCTTAAGCCATGTTAACCGCACACATTCGCACTATCAACAACAACGTCATGTGTGTATCTTACAGCTACTTGAACCGACCGGTTTTTCCACTTTTGCCAAAGCAATTTGGGCCGCTCGTATCAGCAGTAGCAGCAGCAGTGGTGTAGTTGGTGTTGTTTTTGTATATGGAGTTGTTGTTTCCAGCAAAATCGCATAAATGTTGCAAAGTTTTCCACTCGGCTATGACTTTGCCTGCTGCTGCATCTACGCCTTGTACGCCTTCGACTGCAACTCTGACTCCGACTCTGGCTGACATTCGCTGGCTGGTTGGCTGGCTGTGGGAGTCAAGCAACTCATGTTCTGTGCGTGGATATGTTTTTATGCATTGTCATCCCAAGTTGTAATGTAATAACGGTTCTGCGATGCTAAAGCAACACCTTGACATATACATGCAGACATCGACACACCCACACACATTGTTTATGCATACAATTGTTGAAAACTGTTCAGAATTGCAAGTTTTCCGAAGGCACTGCTTATGTACATACAAGTATATGGCAACAAATTATGACTTCGTCTACTCAACAAGCATATCATGACTCTAATCTTATTTCAGGTAAAAGCCACTAATGTTATAGAAAAGTTTTCTAATATATAAAATCGGTTCTAGATCTACTTTTTATGGATAAACGAATATGTTTGTTTGTTTAGAAGAAATTATATTGGAAATCTTCGTATCGTTCAAAACCCCCAATTTTATTTTAACTTTGATGAAACTTGTAGCTGTGTATTGCACATAACATGCCCTAAACAAAAAAAAAATTATACCGAGACATTTGAAACTTAAATATGGGAATGCAGAAAAACTAAATTAATTGTGTGCAGTTATCACTTAAAATTTATGGTCAATGGTTAGGCGCTTGAATCGCTTGACCAATAGCACTCAGAGTCCTCATTATCGTCGTAGCATTCGGCATTATAAAGCGATTCGTCGCTGCTGTCTATTGTGTACTCTTCATCGGTATACAGTTCGCTGCCTTCATCATCGGTGTATGCGTCGTATGCGTCGATTTCGAAGGCGCCGTCCTCCGTATCGCTAGCGTCCACTTGACCCGTCTGTACATTAATTTCAATCTGCAGGCGCAAGTCCATAACCAAAAAGGCTGTAGTCACCAACACCGGCAGAGTGAAGCGATTCTTCCAGGCCAAGTCGGTGAGGAAAAGGAACACGTTTCCAAAAGTCGAATTCATTGTAAACTATCGAGATTGTGACGTCTCCTGTCTGATTGATTCCTCCTGTCTTCTAGCTTATTTTTATTCCAGTTAGGCAGATGGACATATGCGCATTGGAAGGGCTGTTATTCTTGTTGATTTTCTTTTTTTTTTGGTTTTCGATTTATATATCAACCTTCTGTCAGGAGTCTGCATTACAAACTGAAATATGTGTTTAAAATATTAAACACTATTTGAAGTATTTGCCAAGGAATTTTTGATAGTTATATTTCTTGGTACAAATTGTTTATTGTGATATCCATAAAATGAAGTTATAGAAAGATACAAATGTATGGCTAGAGACACCAGGACTTGACAAATAGACTTACCTCATCAGTACACAGACCAAGTTTTTTAAAAGTTTAACTTAATATTATAAACAAATGTGTTTATCAAATATAGACCCAGCACAAATCTCAAAAAACTTATCCAATATCGTGGAATTCACAGTTGCTTACGACGCATAAACGAAAAGTGAAGTCAGTTCCACAGTCGAAATCTATACATACAAACGGTTTTTTGGCCTCTTTGGCTTCTGCAACTCGCTGAAGATTTCACTGCTTGACTTGGCTGCAGTAGCGCTTAAACGGGATCCAACTCTTCTGGCCACCTTTTGCCTGCATGATAAACGTTCAACTGTCTCTTAACTGCATCTCCCTCTCAGCACCTGGGGCGCTCGCCCTCACTTCTTCAGCTACCATTCTCGCTCGAGTCTGCTGCTTGACTTTCTTTGCCATCAATATTTTTTTGCAGACACCTTCGCTACCATGTGGCCCTTTCGGAAAACCCGTTTGGTGCCTGCTGCCGCACCAACTGCACCTTTACTGCCAGAGTTCTCTTAAATTGCAATCTTCTTCCATTTCGTTGACTTCGGCTGCCTCTACCGCGAGACTGCTGGCAGCATAAGCGGAGGCAGCTTAAGCAGAGATAACATTCATTGTTACACCCACAATGTAGGGTCCTTTTCCACCCCTCCCTTTCCTTGTTCGTCGTTTTGTGTGACTCATAAGAAAATTATGTTGCATTTTATGTGCGCCAGCTTTTTTATTCACCCAGTTCGCCTCACGTTGCCTTGAAACGTTGCATTTGGCAAGGCCTGCAGCTGCAACAAATAGGCTAGGCAGGCGGCATTTGGTTTGGTTTATATGGAGACATTAAAGACACACATCTTTACTTTGAAACTTTGGTGCAATGCCAACCAGTCAGGCAGGCGGCATCGAATCAGTTGCCTATCAGTGATTTGCCTACTAGGATGTTTTTATTGTTGTTGCAACGCACTCGGCTTCTGCTGCGTTTCTGTTGTTGTCATTATCCTTGTCGTGCTGAGGGCGAAACAATAAGACATAATTCCTGAACCGTTTGGCATGCTCCGACATCGACTTGGTCTTGGACTTTGGCTACAATGTTCACATTTTGCATAACTTAGCATCTACTTAGCAGGCATCGTCCTATTCAGGAGCAGTCTTGCCAAAGCTTCCGCCTGCCAGACCAGGAATCTTGGCATAAATTTCAAGTCCTGGTCAAATTTTATAGCAATTTATCGACTCGAATCAGGGGAGAGGAAGCGACAGAGAACGATATAGAGAAGAAATGGCTCGTTCTGTTTTGCTTCTAAACAACAGCACCCAACAACAACCTCAACTCCTCCAATATCATCAAATGGATGGTATTGTCTAGAGGCAAGCAACAAACAAAATGTCATTAAAGGCGAAAAATCTATGCCAAATAACATTGTAATCGAGTGCAAGAACACACATCCAATATTTTTGTAAGTGTGCGGTCATGTGCGTTTATGTGTGCATGTGTGTGTGTGTGAATTTGTGCATAAGTGTGTGTGTGTGGGTGTAGGTTTATGTACTTTCCTACGGTTACGCTTGAATTCAATGCTGGTAATTAACTCTGAAAATCCAATTATGAGAACTTTTCCAAAGAGTATGTGTGTATTTTCTACCAAAAGTGTTGGCATGCCATTGAACAGTGGTTAAAATTCTTACAAAATTGTATTTTTAGATCATCTAATCAAACATGAATCGGATGGCAGTACCAATATAATTTCATTTTGATTTGCTTTTGTAAAATATTCGCAATATTCAAACTTCTGATATTCATTCCTTTTCTTTACTTTATTTACATTGAGAAATCAAATGTTTTTAAATTCATTTTAATGGAAATACACGCTATTTGATTTGAAATATTTTTGTAAGCATATTCTTAAAATTTTTGTTGTTTACACTACAACTTTCTATTGAAGATGAGAAGAATTTTTAAATTTCTAAAATATTTTGGAATATAAGTGTTCCTAGTACTGACGTCACAATCGTCTCCATTCAATACTCTTTTTCCGACAAGACTTACTTAATTTGCAACTTATTCTTAAATTACCTATCACCCCGTTGACTGTTCAATTAAATGAATAATGAAACATGATTTTAATTTAACAATTTCAAATATGTTGTTTCTTCCTTTTCTGGGCCACTCCAGTGTACTTATAAAACAATTGAAATTAAAAGTTAAATTTCTAAAATCGAAACTTAGTACAAGTATATTAAAAACTACATTTAATGACATTAAAATATTTCCTAATGTTGTTCCGGGTCACTGTGCAGGGGGTTTGTGTGCCTGTGTGTTTAAATGTGTATTCGTAGTGTGTGGTGCACTTATAAGTGATATGCAGAACATGCAATTAACAAGAGAAAATTCACTGCCTTTGCCTGCTCGAACTGCCTGTTAGTTTCACCGCCCGCCACCCTGTTCTCCTGGCCTTGTTTTCTTAGGCAGTCAAACGCCCACTTTAGTTATATTGTTGCCTGAGCCTGGACCTGGGCAGTGCCCTGAGTGCTGCATCATGCTGCCATTGGGCCAGGCTTTTGGCTGTGCTAGTTGCTGGTTGCTGGTTGCAAGTTGCCATTGTTTCAATTTTAATATAATTCTCACGTAATAATTGCGTTTGAGCGCCACATGCTGCATCAAACTATGCCAAGCGAGCTGGTTGGGAGTGTGGGGAGACAATGCTGAGTTGCAGTGGCGACAGCAACTAAGACAAAGTCGTTGGTGTCTCGGGCGTCTGTCTGTCTGGGGGCCGTGTGAAATTTCAGTCATTGCCATAGACAACAAGTTTGGCAAGGGTTTACGTGCCCCTTGCGGCTTCGTGCGTCCCCTTGTGGCTTGCTATGGCAAATGTTTCCAAAAACATTCAAAGCAATTTGCTTAACATGCAAATGAAGATGGAAAATAACAATAAGCCATAGAGCAGTATCGCAAAAGAGTGGAGAAGAGAAGAAAAGAGATGAGAATAGGCGGCTCAAGAAAGGTGTTCGCTTTGACTGGCGGCCATTAGCGCGCAGTTCATTTGCTGCCTTTATTTTAGCCATTGCGTGTCCGACGGAAATTGAATTTTTCACGACGAACCCTTTGGTCGCCATCTTTGCTACTCAGTTTTCTTCCATTTCTTTCCTGACTTTTGTCTACTGCTGCTGCATATTATTTTTAATTTCCTTCAATTACAAGAAATTTTTCTTCAACTCGAGCGCAATTTTTTATTATAATTTAATTAGTTACAATGGGGTGGCGTCGACATTGTTTTACCGTTGCTTCATGAACTGCACTTAACTTCCGCTTCGTCTTTTTGTGCATTTTAATGAACCGCGCATGAATGAAGACAGAAAATTTGAATAAATACGGCAAAGAAAAACATTTGCAGACAATTACTTGTAAATGTTCACGCATATTTTCCAATGCTCAGTCACTTTTTTATAAACATGTACATGTACGTATTTTTTTAATGAATACAACAAGGGGTCCAATTATATACACACGCACACCCACGGCCATTTTGTATTTATATATCAATTAAAATGAAATTGATAACATGAGCGTCACATTGGGAATTTGAAGCAACTTTATGCCCTGGTCTCTGACATCTCTTGTAGCGGCCGGCAGAGTGGAAACGCAAATATTTACATGCAAATTTATTCGCAAACATATGCCATATAAATGAATGTACATATAAAGAAGACACATACACACACACAACATAAGGGCAGCATTACAATACACAAATGTATGCCATTATTTTTCTACAATTTCCATGCTCATACGCTTCACATGGCGTATGCGTAATGAGCACGAATCAAATGTGTGTTGCATAAATAGCCAAATGGTTTCAGGGAATGAGCTATTACGATAAATTTTAGCAATTTTGGAGATATACAGAATTGGCAGAGGTGGGTAGATGTCATGAGCAAGTGAATTAAAGAAGAGATGGTGTGCCATACGATTGTGTATATTTTACATATTCATGTAAAAGCCTACTTTGTAGAATATTAGAAGATATATTTGACGCGGTGTTTGGTACCTGAGCAGCTTTTTTTCTTGGATTCTTGTTATTGTTTTCTAGATAAGTGAGTCTTTTAAACCAAAATGTGAACTCGAAATCCGTGCTGTACTTAATGAAATTTTCGAGTTTATCGATAGTTAACATTAGCTTCTACATTCTCCAAATTAAAACGTATGCTTATATGGTATAAACAGATTCTCAAGAAGTCAGAAAGTCCTGTTGTATCCATTTAACACAAACTTTATATTAAACTATTAGTTTCAATAGCTGTGGTTGTTTTTTCTGTTAAGCTTCTTTTAATTGCAAAGCAATAATTAATGTTATTATCAATAGAGATTGCCAAGAAAAAGCAGCTGTGCACAGGACTTTTGAAATTGAAGCTTGAAGCTTGTCGGAGGCAACGAAGCCTAACGCTTCAATTTGGCTAAGTGCATCGCGCAAAATTTTGCAGGCTGCCTGCCGACTAGCCAAGGCAAAAGTTTTAATTAGAAACGCAGCTGAAATGGACAAGCGCCAAGAAGAGGATGATGATGATGATGAAGATGATAAGGATGTAGAAAGCAAAGGCACAGCACAGCCAGCCAGTCAACTGAAATGAAATGAGGCAAATGCGTTGACAAACGCAGCGGCGCGCAGCGACTTTAATAAGAAATAAATTAAGGCATGAACAAGTGAATGAATGAATAAATGAATGAATGAGTTGGTTAGTCTGACCGAGTGTTCCAGTAAAGCCCAGACTTTAGTAGAAAGACCTAAAACCGATGCGACAAGAAAACGCATTTTATGTCGCACTTGCAAAGTTTTTCACATAAATTTCACGTTTAAACGAAAACCGAAAATGAAAACTGATGCGACATTTTGCCACCTTGGCACTTGACGACCATTTCGTTGGAGGTGGCTCTTCAAGGTTGCTGGTATGTTGAAAGCAAAAGTTGAGCCTGGACGTCACTTCTGTCGCTCAGTCTATGCCACTCTCTTGCCCGTCGCACAACCTGCGCCTTTGTCTCTACCAAATTAATTTTAATGCGCTTTTCATGGCATTGTCTCTTGCAACTTTTTGAATAACTTTTGGATTTTAACGATTATTGGCTCTAATGCAAATGCAAAAGTGAGATCTTGGCGTCGCCAAATTGAAACAATCTTTAAATTTAGTAGAAGCCAGTGTCGAGTGCCACGACGGGCACAAATACAACAATTTATTGCCGCACTTTAGGCGCGACGCTCTGGCTTAAATGCCGGCTCATGCATATTTGATGTCGCATATAAAGCGGCTATAAATTCTACTTGAAATTTACGCAACTTGCGGCCAAAGTAAAAGTAACGCGACAGGCAACACTCTGGTCTCGGCAGTCGAGAGTGGAGAGGTGATGGCACCTATGCTGTGCTCACAAGTGCCCCGAGACTAGATAGGGTCTGGCCCCCACTCCCACAAATATGGGACTTAAACTTTGTTGTTTGATTTTTATGCTTTTTTCCCAAACGATGACGCGTATCATGTGTGCGGATGGGTATGCCTTAAGCATATGAAAAAGTTGGTCGAAATTGTTTTTTGTACTTTTTTTCTTTGTCAAGTTGTCAGGCACGACGAGGGTTGGGGCCAAATAATGGCTTATTAAAAATTGAATAACTTGCGATTACAGAGTTGCCTTTGTTGTATTTTCGGCCCCATACAGAAAAGTGTCTGGACAACGTATTTTGAACTAAGTTCAATTTGCTAAAAGCGAACCGAAAAGCTTTGGCAATGCACTAAAAGTTTAGCTTCTGGAGTTATTTTATAAATTTAAAAATAAACAAATAGTAGAATAAACAATATTAAAAAAGTATAAGCAACTTGCATTTCAAGTGCAAATATTTGTATTCTACATCCATTAGTTATAACTAATCCGTTACATTCCCGCCATCTCTACTTACAGCCCTCACAGCCTTGATTTCACTGATTGCCGCCCAGTCGGACGAATCGATCGATACGAGAGAGAATGCTGATCTGGAGCTTAAGTGTCGGTTCACCGAAAAGTACGAGGCAAATGATTTCTCCTTCTACTGGGCACGCTGGACGGCAAATCCTGCGCAATTCGAGAACGTGGCCATTGGTGATGTGCAGCTCAGCTCCGGCTACAGGTAAGTGTTGGTTAGGTGTTGGGAAGACAAGTTGGGACGATTATTACAAAAAACCCGCACAGAGTGTTAAGGTTTATGGTGACAATAAAAGCGAGTGAAATACCACATGATATGGCGCATTAACAGCTATGGGGGCGCATTCGCCACGCTGACCTGACCATTTGTTATTTTAATTAAATGCAAACCCCAACAAAAACAAACAGGCTGGCAAGCAGGCCCGGTAGGCAGGCAAGCAATCTATGCATGTGGCCGGTAACAAGCGCGCAACTTAATTAAAATCAAGTTCTTGGCAATTTAAACAAATGGCTGCGAGTCGTGCTGGCCGTGCAGCTCAGCGCGAAGCGGTTGTGTCCTTAATCCTGAGGCGTATTTCATGTCAACGCCGCGTGTTGCATGCTCAGACAATTATGAGGCAAACACACACACGAGCATACACACACACAGGCACGTACATTCACACATTAATTCACACATGTAGGTTTAAGGACACGCGAGGCCATGTGTGTGTGTGTTTATGTTTCATTTACCGCCCGCTGCTGTTGTTGTTGTAACTGTTTCATTTTCAATTGTATTTTTATTTGCTTCGTGCCTCGACTTCCGCTTCCGGCCATCAGCCCGTTCGCTAGCACCGCCTGTAAAGCTGCCGTTGGTACATACGTATTTTTATTTAATGTTTCGCCTTCTTTATGCTGAAACGCATAAATTTTAAGTGCCAGGCGAGCCACAAAATGCAAGCGACCGCCAATCCAAGCCGAGCCAAGCTCCGCGTTCGAGCACCGAGCGTAGAGCGGCGGCTGCCAAGCGCAGCAGTCAGCACAAATGGAATGGCCGCAAGCCTGTCGGCGGCATCGTCGGCCATTTTGTCTGCATGTATTGTAGCAAATAATAAAAGCAAATCAACAAAACGAATAGAAATAAGGAAAAAAGAACGCAAGTGAAATGAAAACAGCAACGAGCCAGGGAAATTGTAAAATAAATTTTTACTGCAATTTGCGCCGAAAGCTAACAAGCCCACAACAACAAAAACATAAACCACAACTCTAAGCAGCAGACGGCGACAAGTCACTGAGGGCAGTCTACAGATCTGTACTTGTACATACATGTGAACATATTTGTACAGTAGTGGTCTTAGGTATGTGAACCGCTGGAAGTCATTTATTTAACTGGAAACCCTAATTTGTAAAAACATAGTAATAATTAACTGCCAATATTTTTATTCAATTAAAAAAGCTTTATAAAGTGTTTATTTTTCCAACATTCTATAAATATCTACCAAAGTCTCTGGAAATATATATTTATTTCTGATACAAAAGAAACATTTTTGACCGCATTCAGCTCAGCTTTTCAGTGCAATATGTGCAAATGTTAAATATTTATTAAACCAGCTGTGAAATTTCAACTTCATACATCAAATGTTTGTCAATCTTGCTCACATAATCGTCCGAACATACTGTGAAAATTGCATTTCGATTGGTAGCTTTGGCGCCCATTCAAAACAAATATACACAAAAACAAACGTGTGCAATCCCTTTTAATAATATACCTTAATTGCCACATGCTGAGCGAAACTGGCGAAGCGAAAAGTTGACTATTTCGAATTTTCAATCGATTTATTAATATGAGCTTTAATGTTAATGCTTTAAATAGCCGCTCAGCAATCCCAGTAGCTGGCCAGTACGTTCTGCATCTCCTTTTCCACTCGTCAAGCAAGATAAGTCTGACAGTCGCACTGAAGTATTTGTATTCTGCTCTTCTTTACTCAGCCTTTGAGCTGTTATGTCCAAAAGCACAATCATTTCATTTAACAAACTCGACAGCTCTAGGGAACACCCCAGAATTTTTAAGACCTTAATGAAATTCCACTATTTCGCTCTCAAGTGTCCGAATTTCATTATTTTCTACTGTACCTACTCTATCTGTCTACTCTCTATACTCGTACATATGGCGGCTATAAGTTTGTCGACTTATATCTGTTGGCTCGTGTGGCAGCAGCAGCGACAAAAGTGAAATTACTGCAAATTTGTTGGCAATGCCATACACGATTTTTCGGCCAAAATGTCAAGCAAGCAAGAACAGTGGCAGTAACAACAACAATTATTTTGTCGCCAGCAACAACAGCTATAGCACGGCAAGGACCCGATTTGGCCCGGGGCTAATATTTCGTTTAACATTTCATTTAACGAGGCGACGTCGTCCGAGGACGGGGCGAGCGAGCAGAAGAGACAATGGCCTATTAAAAGGCCGCAATCCTTGCCAAATAATTGGCTCTGTGCTTTTGCCATTTAATGCTGTGGGTCTGTCTGTGTAAGTCTCTGCCCGTGTGTGTCTGTGTGTGTGTGAGCGGGCGCCTGTTGGTATGCAATACAAAAATGTACAACTTTTTCACTGCTCCTTTGACCGCCAGTGCAACAAATCACGACTGCTAAACTGCAACCAATACAGCAGCATCAGAAGCAACAACAATGTTACTTGAAAATTGCAACACTTGAGCAACAGCAGCAGCATCAGAGGCATCCGCCCCGCCTTTTACTCCCTTGGGTTTGTTTTGCTATGAGCGCTACCCAGGGACAGCAAAGGGCCCGGCAAAGCATCAGGGCACCAGGGCTGACGCTACTTTCTGCGCCAGTTCTCGCTCAAGGCCGCGCAAAGCCAACAACAACGGCGAGGAGTGCTTTTCATTCAGCCAAAGATTTACCACTGCGACCGCCGAACCGTTCCTTCCCTCTGCCCTGCCAGCCCGCTCGACTACCAACCAATTCGCATCGTGGTCTTGACTGCGCTTTGGCAGCATTTTTTATAATTTGCACTTTTTTGTGCGCACATCCTGCCTGAGCCGCTTCCAAATGAGCAGCAGTTGCGCGCGTGCCGAGCGCCGGACTCCAGAGACCAGGCTCAGCTGCAGGCAGGCTGGCCGCCTTGCTGGCTGGCTGGCAGTCAGACAGAGACGGGCCGGACGAACTTTGCGCTTTTTTGTGCGACACAAAGCAGCAAAATATAAAATAAAAATACGAAACTCAACTAGCCGAGGAGCAAAAATGGGTGGCAAGTGCAGTGGGGCGGCCATTGGAGAATTTAGTCAATTTGCTGCTGCTGACGCAGGCGTTGCCTTTGCTGTCTCTGCATCTGCCTCTGCTCTACCTCTGCTGTTGTCCTTCGCTAGTTGAGTTTTTTGGTTGTCTGCGCTTTTGCATTCTATTTACAGATTTTTCAGTCAAGTTCGCCAGAACACAGAGCAGCGCATTTGTTTGGCTCATGTTTTTCGTGCGCTTTAGCACGCAGTTGCTCGTCCTGCTACTGTCCTGTCCCTTAGCCATCGTGCTGGCCCGTCCTGCTGCGGTTGCCCATTCGTTCCGGCTAGCAAATTAAATTTTTCCCACTGACGTGCAACGCTTGACGCGTGTTTTTGCGGTTTGCAGCAATTAGCACGCCAAAGTCGGGCACGATGTGCTGTGGTGGGTGGAAGGCGATGGGTTCAGGGTGTGTCCGGTCGTTGCAATTGTTGCTGAAGCTGCTCAGCTGTCCAGTTAATCAGATGGCTGGATGGCGTCTTGTAATTACTATTGCCGTGACCTTTCGTGATTCAATCAAATGAGGTTGCGGACAAATTGAAGCCATAAAAAAGTCTAGACATGGGACGTGAGATGTGGTAGATGCGTTAGGGCGCTAGGGCGTTAGGGAGTTGGCGAAGTGTCGCACAACAAGACGAAATCAAACTAATGATGCTACTGAAGAGGACACCTAAACACACGCACGCCCTCTAGCATGTCAAGAGGCAAAATCAATGAGCACGAAAATTTGGCCAAGATGATGATGAGACAATTTTCAGATCAGCAGCAGACAGTCAGCCATCAATGCCATCGATGCCATCGAGGACCTGTGACAAATGAACTTGCCGCCGCATCGAGCTGTTTGCATTGCCAGACGCAGACTGCGAGATTTTCGGGCACTGGTCATTGAGCAGTCACTCAATGTCGCCGGCAAAATCAGCGAAGCATGCACGGACTGGCAGCGCATCAATTTTCTCTAGTTGTCATGGACAACGAAATAATCAGCGTTAAAAAGTTGTAAAAAATGTCAACAGTGGCCTTGAAAATACTTATGAACATGTTTACAAGACGATAAATAATCAAGCGTAATGGCAGGAGAAAGCGGGGAAAGGAAACAATTTCATATGTCAAGAAACTCGTTCATAAATGCATTTAATATCGCATTTCAAGTTATAGCTTAAGCTGTCTTTAATATCATTTCATAGACAACAAATTGTCTACCAATCCATCGTGTTACTTCTCATACTCTACGCAAATTTTTGCAGTGAATCTGCCAATAATCTGTCAACAAATCTTGAACTGTTATGGGCCAGCCAAGTACATTTTAAATTGCTGATTTATTGAATGGACATCATCTCGAAAACTACTGCGGCTCCTTTCGAATTTATGTAACAGCAAGAATTGTTTTTTTCATTTAATGGCACGTCTCAAGTAGTAAGTCATGCTATTCTTCACCCCTAATTGCTTGGCAAATTTGTGCTGCAATGTTCCTGGAATTCACAAATGTTTTGCATATACAAGTAGTGTTTACATTGTTTCGACCTTTTGGTCATCTCCAATTGAGGAGACTTCTAGGAAATATGCAAAATTTAATTGAACGCTGTGTTTGTTTATCCTTTCTGTACAGGTCCTTCTCGATTCCTGCCCCGTTATCAGTTTATATGTTCTGCTATATTTATTTGTATTTATTTATACGTATGCATGTAGATACGGCCACCTGCGGGCGGTCGAACAGGCAGACTGGAGGTAGGATGTTGGCAAAGAGCGAGAGAAAATTCAATATTAGCACAATTAGTGAGGGGGTGGGGAATGCGACGAGTGCCTGGTAATGGCCGCAGGCAGTGAGGCGTGCCTCAGCAAGTTTTTAAATAAAATAAATTGATTTTTGAAATGAAATTGCCGTAAACGAGTTGTTGGCTGCACCAGACGCTGAGCAAACACTCGAAGCGAAGCGAACGACACATGTGCAATGGAAAATTGTAAATGTGTTTGCAGAAATGTGTGAGTTAGTGAGGAGTTGGTGATAAAAGTTGATGTGTTGGCAAAAACAGCGCCCACAGCAACTTAAGAGCAGCCAGTAGTGTAATGTACATTGTACGGAAAACATAAACCAACATAGTGCCATCCTTAGCAAAAGATCAAAGGATAATGTTGCAGTTTCAACTAATCATTTTCATTATTTCTCTATTGCAGACTCAACTTCCAACCGGAGCGTGGCATTTACGATCTGCTAATCAAAAACGCCTCCTATAGTCGCGACAATGGGCGCTTTGAGTGTCGAATCAAAGCCAAAGGCACTGGCGCTGATGTGCATCAGGAGTTCTACAATCTGACCGTGCTAACACCACCACATCCACCTGTTATATCGCCCGGCAACATTGCCGTCGCCACCGAGGATAAGCCCATGGAACTAACCTGCAGCAGCATTGGTGGCTCACCGGATCCAACGATAACGTAAGTTGGCGATACATTAAGACGTTTAGTTTCAAGTTTATGATCGAAAGTGAATTTAAATAATCAGGACACTCTCGATATATCTTTGTGTTCTTTTTATGTACTAAGGAATTAATCGTTTAGATGTTTCTATCCAATTTTTCACATACATTCAGTGATTCCCGTCTTCATTCACAAGTAGATAGAAACGCAAAACTGTATGACAAATTATTGCAAAAATTTGAAGACTTCTTGGAATTCATAAGCAATATTCTTAGCTCTCTAAATCCATTTTCAAATTGTAGTTCTTTCGTAGAATTGTTACATTCTATAATTATATAATGGTGGTTATAAGTATGTTTGATTTTGCTGATTGACCTTTAGCTATTATACTTGTATGTACAAGTATTAGTTATTCTCTGATTGCAATAACATTAAACTTCAATCGTTGCATCTCTTCACTTACAGCTGGTATCGCGATGGTTCTAATTCCCCGCTGCAGTCCACAGTCCTACGTGGTGGATCTAAGGATCAGCCCACTAATGCCACGCTGGCTATTACGCCACGTCGCGAGGATGATGGAGCCAAATATAAGTGTGTGGTTCGCAATCGTGCAATGAATGAGGGCAAACGTTTGGAGGCCATAGCAACACTCAACGTTAACTGTAAGTATCAAAGATAACTATCATTTGAATTGGGGATAATTTGCCATAATCAGCCCGAGTCGACACTTGACCCTTTGGCTAAGCTGCTCCCACCCACACGGAGACAGAGACATGCTCAGCAATTACATAATGGTTGCGCGCTTAATTAGCATCCACACGCAGCCACGCCCACAACACTTGGGCACCCAACAACTGCATAATGAAGTGACCTAACGACCAACTGACGACATATTCGTTTACATGCTATTTAAATGCCCAGCATGGCAAACTATTTACTAGATACATTGCCAAGAGCTCTAAACGCGCACGGTTTTTAAAAGCCAACGCACATAAATTACGGACGCTGACGTTGGCGTTGACCTGCTGACTGAACGCAAGTAATTAGAATAGAAATTTATGTGCTGTTGCTGTTTATGCGGCAACACCAGCAACAGCAGCAACAAGTGGCAGTTTAATGCCTGATGGGGATCTGAGTGGAGAATAGAGGGGAGGAGAGCAGAGTAAAGGAGCTGATGTGGTCGCAGTATTAGCTATTAGCTCTGGAAATAACGAACACAACATTAGCAACTATACAAACAGTAGCAATAACATCGTCAATTGAGGCAAAGTGCCAAGCTATCAAATACGTAATTGATTCAAAAATAACACATACACACCCACACACATAAGCCCACTTACTCATTAACTCACTCATTCATAATCACCGGTATACACACTTGGCTCACACTCGTAGGTTTGCACGCTAATTGCGTTTGCATGCAAGCCGGTCATCGCCAGGCCAAAACTAAACCAGGGCCAAGCCGCTGCTGCTGCTGCTGCTGTTGGCCAAAGAATAACAAAAATAACTAATTTTCCAGTTCAACGCCACCAACGCACGCAACGTCTGTTGAATACGTGGCTTATACGCTCTGCTCTAACTAAATGCAACCTACGCATCTATATGCAGTCAAATTTATTTTATTCAAGATTCAGATTTAAACAGAACCGGTTGTCAAATGCAATGGGGCAATACTTTTGATCCTCCTTTTACATACATCTATCGAATTATACTTTAACCACATACATTCATTCATCTTCTTATGTTTTTAAACACGTCTAATGACACGGTGATCGAAAAATGTATTCCAATATAATAACAATATCCCATATCGATTCCAATGGCTTGTAACAAATTTTAAATATCGCATAACAGTTTATTCTAAAAATGAAATTTAAATTTTTAAAATGTAAAACAAATAATTGTAAAACAAAATGCTGTTTCATGCGGGGGGTTTGTTTATTTTCTCTAAATACTCTGTGCTTTTACAGTTTTCTTTTGCATTGTTTTTCCTCATCGAAAGCTTTTAGTGTCAATGGATAAATGGATACATGTAGTAATTGTTGAATAGAATAATATGTACTTTATCCAATTGCTTACCACAGCTGCATTGAACATTCTCAGAAATCCTCCCTATAGGTAAAATAAATTTTTGCATTCATTTGAGGTTTCCTAAACACTATCCAAGTTACAAATATGGCATAATCACCCGTTGGCAATGGTAACGGAAGAGGATACATATACAAATCCTTTATCACTTGTACACCCTAATGAAAAAATCAAAGTTAACCAAAAGTTCATTATAGGAAATCCCAGCCACAGAACACTCACGGAGTAGGGACAAGTATGATTGCCAGTGGACAAGTTTTGGGCCATGTTTCAAAGCACTTTTACAGCAGGATGATTGTGTTTGCGCATAAATGCAGAAAAGTCTACATTATAGTCCATGAGCCACGGCTTATATCCATTCTCTTTTTTCAGGAACTGCGCTCGCAAATGTAAATCATTGATTTCCTCTAAAGGCGTCAGGTTGATAGACATTTTGCTGCAGGGTTATTATTACCACCAAAATGGGCATACAAATGGCAAAAGATGTTATGACCCTCATCTTCGGAGTGTTGTTAGAAATGTATTAAACATATATTTGAAGTTTATTATTTTGATAACTCCAAGACCTATAATTGGAGTTGTAAATGTAGTTAGTTCTGCCTGATGGCCAGGTTTAATCGATACACTGTCAAACTATTTTCTCATTTGTATACCCTGTACCAAGAGGGTAAAAAGAGTATACTAGTTTAGAGCGAATGTATGAAACACACGTAAGGTAAAGAAGAATCAGGTTGACAATACTAATCGATATAGCCATGTGCGTCAGCTACGCATAGACACACAAAGACAAAATGCCAGTTATGCAATTTAGAGTCCCGAAGGAGGTAATATGATCATAACTTTTTTATATACCTACCTTTAGGGTAAAAAATGTATCATAATTTGTGCAAAGAATATACTGTATAGCGGGCAGAAGGAAACATCTCCGAGACAATGATTTATTAAAAATATTCTTTATCAGCATGACGAGAGAAGTCGATACGTCCGTCTGTCCGCCCGTTTGGGTTGAGTCTATATTTTTGTTCATTTAAAAAAATAGTTAATTTTAATATTTTAGGTACAGAGTATTGGAAAGTTGCAAAATTTCAAATTGTAATATCTTAATTATTTCATCTATAAATTGAAATAAAGCTATTAGACCGATTTCGTTGGCCCTACAAAATTTAAACTAATCGATTTTATAGTCCATCCAGAAATGATTGAAAAATCTTAACCACAACCAGTTTATTATTTCGATAACTGCCGCTTTATACGGGTTTTCTTCGCTATTTGGATGTGTTGGCATACATTTGTAAGCTGGAGCTCTCAATAAATGAATCATAGATGGCGTTAATTAGCCGACTACACATGCATAAGTTATGCATTCAAATTGGCAACGCCCTCACCATGAATGACGGCCTCGCTATTGAGCTATTGAGCTAATTGACCCACGAGGGGCGTTAAAAATAGGCCGTCAACGCCGTCGCTCGTTTAATTAAAAGCTGCCGCCGCAACCCTTTCCACCCGCTACCACCCGCCGTCGTGTTTAGCTGCGCATTTGCATATATAATCCGCAAGTTGTACTGTTGTTGTAATTGCTGTTGTTCTTGTCGGTGTTTTGTTTTGTTTTGTTGTCAGACATAATGTTTTAGAATGCATTTAATTACACGGTTTTTTATCCCCACATTGCATTGTGAGTGATTGTTTTGCGAGAATGGAGGAGAGGTAGGGCGCTGGATCACTAAACCGCATGTAAATGCTGCGATTTAAAATGCTCATTAATTGGCATTTAGATTTATGCATTTAAAATGCCACGACGCTTAAAGCGAGTGCAGAAATGCAAAAACTAAACAAGAGATACATATGAAGGCTCAACCAACTAACACACTCGACTGCATAACAAACAGGAGGAATGAATGAAAGGTACACACAAATGAAAGGAATGGAACCGCAGGCAAACCAACATGGATGGGACAAGGGTTAAAGGCAAAAACACAAGCCGGTTGAACGATATGTGAGTTCTGATTAGAGTTAGCTCTGTGTACTTGCTCTCTATCTCTAAACCATGAGTGTGTGGACTTTTCACTTGCGGTCAAACCGGTACTAAAGCTCCGAGCTCTTCTGCAAAGCTTAATGCGTTTTTAAGCAACCGACACTGGTGATGGTGACGAAGACAGCAAAGAGTAGATCACAAGCTCAGACAGGACCATCAACACCCAACTGTCCTGTTTGCACAACGGTGGGCTTGCATGCTCATGTGTGTGTGTGTCCGACAGCATTTGTGGTTAGTACGGGTCCATTGGCTCGGTCCTGGACTCGGCCTCACCCAATGTGCTGTAAAGCAATCATCAGGCCAGGCACGAGGACCACACGTTGTAATCATTGAGGCGACAAGCCTCATGTCTGTTTGCCCAGGTCAACAGCATTTTTCCCCCTTTCTCACTGTGTAAATATCTTTGGAAATTAAATCAAAAACAATTAAACTGTAAACAGGCAGAATAGAGGTTGCCGGAAACAAGACCTCAATCAAAGGTGCCAGCAATTTGATTTACGGTCACAATAAAAATTCACTTAGCCATCATCGACACGTGTAAATTAATCACACAAAGTAGACCCCGTCTAAGACTCCTAAAAATAGGCAGCAGTCTTAAAGTCAAGCAACGACAACGACAACGAGGACAATGACAACAGCTCTTGTCTAATCGACTCTAATAAGTCATTGGAAAATTGCCGGCAATAAATTCCAGACAGCGACGACGGCGACGACATCGACGACAGAGCTTAGCATTTGTCGCAGGTCGCGACACAATAATAATGACAGCGAACAAGAAGAGCAAGAGCTCGAGCAAACAGAACAGCGAAAACAAAAACAAAGAGCCACCCGCTAATAACCGCAAAATGACAAAATGCCAAAAATCAAGCGATATTTTCAATTTGCCGCTTTCGACTTGAGCCAAAGGGCTGAACGCCTTTAAAGGGGGGAGGATATGACGAAGCTATTTAGGAAAGATTCGTTCGTAATGCGTTGTTTGTGAAAGCAGAAGAAGAAGAAGAAGAGAGGCGTGGCAGTATTTGTGGGGCGTTGTTTGGCATTCGAATATTTGCCGTCTGTTGGGCCCGTTTATTAGGCATGAAAATCCAACTTTAATCTAGACACTAATTTATTGCCTTTATTCCTTTTATGATTCTTTGCCACACGGTAGCGCTAGTCGCACGCTCACCGCTCACAGATCTGAGCAGGGGCGTGCCAGAATTTTATTATTTGAATAACATTGCAACAAAGACGGTGGAGATTCCTAAATGGTCAAATAAAATAGAGAAAATACACATTGAATTTGATGAAAAATTCACATAAAGAAACTACTTATTTGATAATAAATATAACTACGTAGTTGGTGTACATATATGAAGGCTTGTATATAATTTAAAATAGCATTGCATATCTCATAAAATTCTTGGAAATTTTCCCAAAACAGTTATGGTGGCATTTCCTATTTGGGTTTTCCTAGGCATTCTTCCCTGTACGAGCACGGGAGAAAAGAAGAGATAGAGCTGGCAAAAGATTTGGTGGTGGTGGTCGCGTTTTTTGATGAGG